GGTAGCATAGTAGTTACAAATCAGGCTGTTAATCTCAAGGTCAGCAGTTTGAAACTACCAGCTGTTTCGAGGGAGAAAGATGAGGCTTTCTGTTCCTGTAAAGATTTACAGCCTCGGAAGCCCTATGCAGGGTTGCTGTGAGTTGGAATCAATTCCACAGCACATAACCACCACCACCACTTACTGAGGTTCTTGAGAGTGGGGACTGTTTCCTTGTATGTATGGCTCACTGTTTGGCAGGATGGCTTGAACATTGGGTGCCTCATTGGATTTGTGTTGAATGAATGTGCTGACAGAAGGAGCTTCTTTGCCAAGAAGCCTGCAAATTCTTTATAATCTACATAATTCGCTCAGAGATGTGAAGCACAACTCCGATCCACATCTTTTTTAGAGGGCAGGGGTATTTGGGGTGTTAAGATGCAGTTGGGCTGAGTGACAGGCTGGCCCAGAAAATAGCCTGTGAGAAGATGACCCCAAAGGAGAGAGAGTGGCACAGAGGTAGTATAGAAGTGTGGCAAGAATACGGCTCTGGAAAGAAGCCTATTTTTTTTTCACTCACTTGCAGAATGACTTTGAGGTCAATTACCTTACTTCTCTGAGCCTTGATTTTCTAGTTTGTAAAATGGGAGTGATAAAAGTACCTCCTACTTCAGGATTTGGTAAGGAGCAAAAAAATTTTTTTTAAAAAGAATATAAGCATGTAAGATATCTAACGCAGTGCCTGACAAGTAATATGTGTTCAGTAAATGTAAGCAGTTACTGTCATAATGGGAGCCTCAAGTAGCTGTGAAGATAGTAAGCAAAGGTGTTCGATAATGAGATAGAACTTGACTGAAGGCAAACAACACCCCCACTACCTCAAATACTTGATTCAGACAGGAGCACTGATCCAGCAAGAAGGACAGCGGGATTCAGAGAAGTGAGGCTAGCAGTTAGCAGGGTCAGCCTGTTCCAGGTTTCCCTGACTCTGTTGAGGAACATGAAGGCAAACACAGAAGGACATGTGCAGAGACACACGTGATCATGCAAGTGATGCAGAGGCAGACCCAGACAAAAGACTGAGACAGGAGCCAGGCAGACACACAGACAAGCACAGCCCAGTGGAGTCATGTAGACAGGGATAATGACAGGAACTTGTCAGACACTGAGGAAGACGAGATGAGCAGATATGCGGGTGCCTACGGAGACAGACACCGGGACCCACACACAGCCGACCTTGTCAGAAAAACTGATGAACACAGCGCCCAGTCAGAGGCAGACACAAGGCCCGTAGTGACACATAGCGGACCAGGGCCAGCTCTGTCACTCCTCGGTGGGGGGCAGGGAGGGGCCGGTAGCGGGGGAAGGCTGGGGAAGGGAATCCCAGTCGGGCGGCCTGCCCGGGTGGCTGAGTCACCGCGGCGGCGCTCCAGCCGGCAGCCTCCCTCCCCTTCCCCCAGGTAAGAAGCTAGCTGGTCACTCCACGCTTCCTTGAGGCAGGCGGAGGCAGGCTGGGAGCGGGATACGGCGGGTGTCTAGGACCAGCCCCACCACCCCGCGTGTGCACACCCCCTGACTGCCTGCTTGGTCAAACCCGGTCTGGCCGTCCTGTGAATCTGTGCCCACGTCTGACCCCTTAGCCACCCCAAACCTTCGTCCCCCGCGGCTAGGATCGTGGGCAGAGGGGACCATCCGGCCTCTAGCGTAGGGAGAATTAAGTATGTGTGATTGATGGAGTGGGTCTCTTCCCCCGACTGTAGAGGGATGGGGGCGGGGGGGGAGGTTGGTTAAAGTCCCAGAATCTAGAGCCCGGATGGAGAGGGCGGAGCTGAGCTTTGCCAGGAGAACCCGGATGGAGAGGGCGTGGCCTCAGCTGGAGAAGAATTAACCCTTTCAGAGCTGCTGGCTCTTACGATTGTGGGTCGGGCAGGGAGAGGCTGGAATGTCTGTTCGAGAAGTCTCTCAGTCTGGCATTAGTTGCATGCGCCTGTCTTCGAAGAGTCTGTGGGTGTCTGTCTTTGTGCCTGTCTCGCGACCGTGTTTGCCCCTTTCCCTTGGGTAATACTGACACCCGGAGTCGGGGAGTTGCTATTCCTGCCCCAAAGCGAGAGTGAAGGTGAGAGTGGACTGCGAGCCGGCCGACGGCGCTTGGGAAACAGGTGTGAGCGCGCTGTTGGGGCTGCCCGGCGCGGGGAGGGGCCATCGTGGGGAGACGAGAGGGGAAATTCCGCGGGCTTGGTGGTGAGCGGTGTGTGGGCTGAAGAGTTGTGACTGCCTCTGACTGTTTCTGTGTGTACTCGGGCAGGCGGGGGCTGAGTCAGTGAGAATAGGGGAAGGTTTTCTGGTGACTCACGCTCCCCCACCCCAAGCCTGAATCAGACCCCGGGGGAGGGCTTTGTAAGGAGGCGGATATGGGGGAGTCAAGCGCCTGGGACCCCGTGGGGACTAGGATCTGAGATGTCTGGCTACAGTGAATGACTAGTGTACAGGAAGTTTTTTACCTTAGTGAGAGCTGTTGTATTCCTGGGTATTGGCGTGGGGGTTTGTGGATCATGGTAGAAGATCGGGCAGGGGGTACTGAAGAAAGCTGAGTCAGTTCCCCGTGGGAAAGGGGAAGTGGCAGAGGGGAAGTGTCATCATCACCGAAGGGGAAGCTGCATTTCCTGGTAACTGGCAGCGCCCTCGAGCCCCACTTCCCAAGCTGGGATCTGTTTCTAGATGTCTGATCTCCCGGTTCCCCTAAGCCCTTATCTTGTCCGTGGGTTCTGGGATTGGGTCGAGGCAGCCCGGTCCGACTATTCTTAACCACAGTTAAACGCTGTATTTATCCCTGGACTCGGTAACTGGTAGACAGGCGGTCTCTGGTAAAGGAGAGTTCGTTCTGATGGAAACCCCGGTGTGAAGAAGCCGTGGGGCCGAAGCTCCCATCGGGACTCGGCTGGGAGCTGCACGTCGGGACGTGTGGTGTGGGGCCCAAGGCGCTTCCGTACAAGCAGACGGCCATGGCCTTGAGGCTGGAGGGCTATTTTCACCAGAAACCCGCCTGCCCTTGTGGGAAGGGTGGAAATTTCCCGGTAGCGCCGACTTCTCTCGGCGAAGGTGAACTTTCCAGCCGCCCCCAGCCGCCGGCCGCGCGCTCTCCCCCGGCTTCCTGCTCGGCGCTTGCTCCAGCTGGAGCACTGGCCCCGCCCCCGCTGCTTTGTACTCGACACTCGCCTCTCGCTGCTCTTTGTACTCTATGGGCTCAATGGACCGATCCCGGGAGCGGAGCCGGTTCCCTACCTGCGGGGACTCGGAGTAGGCACGGAGCTCTTGGGCTCCGGGAGGCGAACTGAAAGACGGGGTGGTGAGGGGAAGGCTAAAGGGAAGGTACTTCAGGTACTTCCAAGAGAGATCTGCGCCCGTCATGGTTCTAGTCAGCACCCACGGGACGGGACGGCATGGGGGTGGGGATGTTAAGGAGGAAGCGAAACGGGTTCTGGGTTCACGAAGCGAGTGGGCGGTGAGAGTGGGACAGGGGAGATGTTACCGCCTGTCGTGCCCCGCCCTCCCCCTCTCCCGTAGGACCCCCCCTCCCTACACTTACACACTCCGCTTCCGCTGCGCAAGTAGCCACGTCACGGGCAACCCCCGAAATCCCCCCCTCCTTTGGGGGGTGGGGGCCACGTGGGCCGTGGGGGAACCGCGTGGCCCCGGCGGGGAAGGGCATAGAGGATGTCGGAGCCACGCGAGAAGGGCCACTCGGGACCGCGGTGGGCGACTTGTCAGAAGTTGGAGAATTAAAGAGGAGTTTGAATTGGAGGGAGGGTGGTGGTAGTAAATTGATATCGAAGACCTAGAGAGCCTAGTGAGGTGAAGAAGCTAGAAGTGAGTATGAGGCTGGGGGGTTGGCCAGGTTTTGAGATGGAGTCGGGGCGTGGGGCGCTGAAATAGGGGCGAGGACGGGTTAGGTGCCTTAGAAAGAAGTATCTGTGGCTGGCCAGCTCTAAGGGGTGCCGGGGATGGATGGGAGGTCAGGCATCGAGGTAAACTGAGGAAGGGGAGGGGCGTCTTTGTCTGTATTCTACAGCTGTTAGCCTGACGGTCTGTCCGACGGCGACGGCAGGTCTAGGGGTGTTTGGGGCGGCCTGGCCAGGGCTGCCGGCAGTTCTGTGGTTGCATGGGGATCATGGTTAGTGCCGACCCCCAAACCAGAACGAATATGCGAGTCGCTGTCCTCATCCGCATGGGTTACCAGCTCCGCTTGCCCCACCGGCTAGGGTGTCAGGTCTGATAAGGGGACCCTGGGTGGGAACCGCGGGGTCACATCGGGGTCACCCCGGGCCGAGCCCGTCAGACCGGCTCTGCCGCCCCTCCTCCCACGGTCCCTGCCGGGCTCACCTAGCTCCCATTGGTCCCGGGCAGGCTGTTACTGAGGCGGAGACACGGGTGATGATTGGCTTTCAGGAGAGGGGAGACGTTCTGTGATTGGCCTGATCACTGGAGCTTGCTGACGCAGTAAGTAAAAGGACGCTCCCACCAAGGCTGGATAAACGCGGCCGCGTCGCTGGTCGGCCAGGTAACTCCTGGCTGGAAACAGGGCAGTGCCGCTACCCTGGCTCACTGATAGCCACACTACTCCCTGCCATTGTCCGGGCTTCCTGCTAATCTCCCGGGCCTATAGGTGGCCTCACCTTGGGGAAAGTCAAGGCCCAGCTTCCTGTGCAGATGATAGAGTGGGTGCCACAGCCAGCCAGCCAGCCCAGCCCTGCGGCCTGACCAGTTCCCCTAATCTCTTCCCTGCTTCTGTCTGTAGAATTGGCTGTGAAAGACCCTGGACATCCATCTGGGGACAGTGGCACTCTTCAGAGCCAGCGGCTGGAGCCAGACCATCGCCCCAGATCGGGCAGTGCCCGATCTCCAGGGCTCCTGGGGCCACTGCTGACCTGGTGAGGGAAGGGCAGACTGGGTGTATATAAGCCACTGTGACCAAGCCCAAGGCCCTGCTAAGATCATGGTTTCTTCTCCCTGACTCAGGCTGGATGCATCGGGCAGTGGAACCTCCAGGGGCCCGCGCTGCACGGGAAGCCTTTGCCCTTGGGGGCCTGAGCTGTGCCGGGGCCTGGAGCTCCTGCCCGCCCCATCCCCCTCCTCGTAGCGCATGGCTGCCTGGAGGCAGGTGAGAACTTGGGCCATTTCTCCTCAACTGATATGCCTGTTCCATTTCCTGCACACCTCATTCTCTGTCATCTCCTGGCTTCCTGCTATTCTGTGGGCCTCCTTGCAGACTGCAGACACTTTCTGTCATTCCCAGAGTCCTCTCTGTCCTTGGTGGGGATAAGTTTGCTCTGTCTGGCTGTATATAACAATCTATTGTTCCTCCAGGTGCTCAGCCAGCATTGGACAGCCTCCGCTGTCTGCTCCCTTACCCCCTCCACAAGGCAGTAGCTCTGGCCATCCCAATAAGTCCTATTATGCCCAAGGGTAAGTGGGGGAGTCAAAGGTACTGAGAGTGGGAGGTAAAGCTGGGGCCTTGGGAGGCTCCCTTATTTTCCAAGCCTGACTGTCCTCAACTGCTCCTCCTCTGTAGGACACCTACCCCAAGACCCCTCCACGGGAAGCTGGAATCCCTGCATGGCTGTGTGCAGGCATTGCTGCGGGAGCCAGCCCAGCCAGGGCTATGGGAACAGCTTGGGCAGTTGTATGAGTCAGAGCACGACAGTGAGGAGGCCATACGCTGCTACCACAGCGCTCTTCGATATGGAGGAAGTATTGCAGAGCTTGGGCCCCGCCTCGGCCGACTTCAGCAGGTGTGATGAGGCAGGACAGAGTGGGCTGCGATTGTGCCTTCTGGCTGAGCCCCTGCCTTACATCAGTCTCTGCTCTGTCCTCCAGGCCCAGCTCTGGAACTTTCATGCCGGCTCCTGCCAGCACCGAGCCAAGATCTTGCCCCCCTTGGAGCAAGTATGGAACTTGCTGCACCTTGAGGTGAGCCTAGGACTGGGTGGGCTAGGGTAGAGGACCAGGCCAGGCCTGCACTGGGGCCATCATCGCTCCTTTCTTTTTGTTCTCAGCACAAGCGGAACTATGGGGCCAAGCGGGGGGGTCCCCCGGTGAAGCGAGCTGCTGAACCCCCAGTGGTGCAGCCTGTCCCACCTGCAGCACTCTCTGGCCCCTCAGGGGAGGAAGGCCTCAGTCCTGGTGGCAAGCGTAGGAGAGGCTGCAGCTCTGAGCAGGTATGGTTATAAGGGGGCAGTTAGGGTAGTATAGGACCCAGGCAGACAGTGGGAGCCTCATACCTGCTTCTCTTTCAGGCTGGCCTTCCCCCAGGTCTGCCATTGCCAACACCACCATTACCACCACCACCGCCCCTGCCTGGTCTGCCTTCCAGCCCCCCATTTCAGCTGCCCAAGCCAGGGCTGTGGAGTGCCCTGCATGGAGATGCCTGGGGTACCGAGCGCAAGGGTTCAGCACCCCCAGAGCGCCAGGTCAGCCCCCACCGATCACTGTTCACCTCTTAAAAGCTTCCTTGCCCTGAGTCCTTACCCTGCATCTTCATTTGTCTTCTGTAGGAACAGCGGCACTCGTTGTCTCACCCATATCCATACCCAGCTCCGGCCTACCCTGCGCACCCCCCCGGCCACCGGCTGGTCCCGGCTGCACCCCCAGGCCCGGGTCCCCGCCCCCCAGGAGCAGAGAGCCATGGCTGCCCGCCTGCCACCCGTCCCCCCGGAAGTGACCTTAGAGAGAGCAGAGTTCAGAGGTCGCGGATGGACTCCAGTGTTTCACCAGCAGCAACCACCGCCTGCGTGCCTTACGCCCCTTCCCGGCCCCCTGGCCTCCCCGGCACCACCACCAGCAGCAGTAGCAGCAGCAGCAACAGCGGTCTCCGGGGCGTGGAGCCAAGCCCAGGCATTGTAAGTGGTGACAGGTGGGAGGTGGAGTGGGGGGGTTGATGGACCTCCTCTGAAGTGGGCAGAGCAGCCCTTTGACCACACTTATCTTGCACTTGCAGCCCGGCACTGACCATTACCAAACTCCAGCGCTGGAGGTCTCCTCTCATCAGGGCCGCCTAGGGCCCTCGGCACATAGCAGTCGGAAACCGTTCCTGGCAGCCCCCACTGCCACTCCCCATCTGCCCCTACCACCTGGGCCCACCTCACCTCCACCCCCTTGCCCTCGCCTGTTACGTCCCCCACCCCCTCCTGCCTGGCTGAAGGGCCCGGCCTGCCGGGCAACCCGAGATGATGGAGAGATCTTAGAGGAGCTCTTCTTTGGGGCTGAAGGACCCCCTCGCCCTCCACCCCCACCCCACCCCCACCGTGAGGGCTTCTTGGGGCCTCCGGCCTCCCGCTTTTCTGTGGGCACTCAGGATTCGCACACCCCTCCCACTCCCCCCACCACCACCAGCAGCAGCAACAATGGCAGCCACAGTAGTAGCCCTCCAGGGCCTGTGTCCTTCCCACCTCCCTATCTGGCCAGAAGTATGGACCCCCTGCCTCAACCCTCCAGCCCATCACTGAGCCCCCAGGATCCTCCTCTTGCCCCCCTGACACTTGCCCTGCCTACAGCTCCCCCCTCCTCCTGCCACCAAAATACCTCAGGAAGCTTCAGGCGCCCGGAGAGCCCCCGGCCCAGGGTCTCCTTCCCAAAGACCCCCGAGGTGGGACCAGGGCCGCCCCCGGGCCCCCTGAGTAAAGCCCCTCAGCCTGTGGCGCCCAGGGTCAGGGAGCTGTCGGCCCAAGGCCCGAGGCTCTTTGATTTCACTGCAACCCCACTGGAGGACCAGTTTGAGGAGCCAACTGAATTCAAGATCCTACCTGATGGGCTGGCCAACATCATGAAGATGCTGGATGAATCAATTCGCAAGGAAGAGGAGCAGCAACAGCAGGAAGCAGGCGTGGTTCCCCCACCTGCTATGAAGGAACCCTTTGCAACTCTGCAGCCTTCATTCCCCACCGACACAGCCCCAGCCACCACAGCTGCCGCTACCGCAGCCACTGCCACCACCATTACCACCACCGCCACCACCACCACCACCACCCCCACCCAGGAAGAGGAGAAGAAGCCACCACGAGCCCTACCACCACCACCGCCTCTAGCCAAGTTTTCTCCACCTCTGCAGCCCCAGCCGCCACCTCCACCACCACCACCACCACCTCCACCACCACCTCCACCACCCCTGCCAGCCAGCCCAGCTAGCCTGCTCAAATCCTTGGCCTCCGTGCTGGAGGGACAAAAGTACTGTTACCGGGGGACTGGAGCAGGTGTTCCTACCCGGCCTGGGCCCTTGCCTGCCACTCAGTATTCCCCCAGTCCCCCACCAGGTGCTACCACCCTGCCGCCAACCTCAGCGGCCCCTAGCGCCCAGGGCTCCCCACAGCCCTCCGCTTCCTCGTCATCTCAGTTCTCTACCTCAGGCGGGCCCTGGGCCCGGGAGCGCAGGGCAGGCGAAGAGCCAGCTCCGGGCCCCATGACCCCCACCCCACCACCTCCACCCCTACCACTGCCCCCTGCCCGCTCTGAGTCCGAGGTGCTAGAAGAGATCAGCCGGGCTTGTGAAACCCTTGTGGAGCGGGTGGGCCGGAGTGCCACAGACCCAGCTGACACAGTGGACACAGCAGTACTGGCAGACAGTGGGACTGAGCGACTGCCACCTCCCACCCAGGCCAAGGAGGAAAGTGGTGGGGTGGCGGCGGTGGCAGGACCAGGTAGCAGCAAGCGACGACAGAAAGAGCACCAGAAGGAGCACCGGTGGCACAGGCGAGCATGTAAGGACAGTGTGAGTCGGCGACCCCGTGAGGGCAGGGCCAAGGCCAAGACCAAGACCCCAAAAGAAAAGAGCCGCCGGGTGCTGGGAAACCTGGACCTGCAGAGCGAGGAGATCCAGGGTCGAGAAAAGGCCCGGCCTGAGCTTAGTGGGGCCTCCAAGGCCAAGCCCCCCACCACTCCTGCCCCCCCACCAGCTCCTGCTCCATCTGCCCAGCCCACACCTCTATCAGTCCCTGTCCCTGGGAAGAAGGCCAGGGAGGAAACTCCAGGGCCACCAGGGGTCAGCCGGGCTGACATGCTGAAGCTACGCTCCCTTAGTGAGGGGCCTCCTAAGGAGCTGAAGATTCGGCTCATCAAGGTAGAGAGTGGTGACAAGGAGACTTTTATTGCCTCTGAGGTGGAAGAACGGCGGCTGCGCATGGCGGACCTCACCATCAGCCACTGTGCTGCTGACGTTATGCGTGCCAGCAAGTGAGTTGGGCCATCACTCTGGTGGCCCCAGCTTGGTATAGGGCATAAGTTCTCTGCCCACACCCCCTGATGTTTTGTCCTCACTCTTCTGCCCTCCCACAGGAATGCCAAGGTAAAAGGGAAATTTCGAGAGTCCTACCTTTCCTCTGCCCAGTCTGTGAAACCGAAGATCAACACTGAGGAGAAGCTGCCCCGGGAAAAACTCAACCCACCTACCCCTAGCATCTACGTATGTGTGCCATCTAGAGGGCTCAGGTTCACACCTACCAGATGGTTCTGAAATAGCGTTGAGAGGTCACTGGGGACTCAGCCTGGGACAGAGCTCTGACCTCAGTCTTTCCTGATCCTCCCTCAGCTGGAGAGCAAACGTGATGCCTTCTCCCCAGTGCTGCTGCAGTTCTGTACAGACCCTCGAAATCCCATCACTGTGATCCGGGGCTTGGCGGGCTCCCTACGACTCAGTGAGTGTGAGGGGCAGAGTGGTGTGGGATTGTGGGACCCTCAAAGAGCTCCTTGAGAAGATCTAGGGCAGTAGTTCTGCCAAGCTCTCCTGCATAGTCACTTGTAGGCCATGTCTGGGGAGTGTTAGGGGTCTGGTCCAGCTGGTCTCACACTTGCTTCCTGTTTGTCCATTTCCAGAAGTGGGTGAGTGCAAAGGTACATGTATGCTAGGGCCTGTTTAGAGTCACTTCTGGATTTCTAGACAATTAAGCAGAAGCATACAGACTGTAGAAAACCCACAATTTGAGGAATTCTCTCTTTTTTCATCTTTTATTGTGCAAAATGTTAAATATGTTCAAAACTAGAAGAGATTATCTGAAAACATAAAGGTTGATCATGCTTCCACTGAATCAGTAGCCTCTTCTCTAACCAAGCCAAACCTCTGCCCCACTGAATAATTTGAAGCACATTCTAGGCTCTCAACTGACTAAATCTTTAATTGGAGCCCGTCAGTGTTCACTTAAGGAGCCCTGGTGGTGCTTTGAGATAAGCATTGGGTTGATAACCTCAAGGTTGGCTGTTCAAAACCCACCAGCTGTTCGAGACAGAAAGATGAGGCTGGTTGCTCCAGTAAAGATTTAGTCTCAGAAACTATAGATAGGGTCACTGTGAGGTTGATCGACTTGATGGCAGTGGGTTTTTGTTTTCAATGTTAACTTAAAGCAGCCATTTGCTATGCCCATGTGACCTCGTGGTAGAGGGCCTAAGAGGCTTGAAGCAGCTGCAGGGGAAGTAGGGTGATTAGAATTCAGACAAAGGCCAGGCCTGTCTACCCTGCCAGGGGCTGCTGGGAGTCAGAAGGGAAAGGGTGAGTTGTGTCCTTGCCCCCTGCCCCGACGCCCTGCATGGCCCTCCCTCGCAGACTTGGGCCTCTTCTCCACCAAGACGCTGGTGGAGGCAAGTGGCGAGCACACGGTAGAGGTGCGCACCCAGGTGCAGCAGCCCTCGGATGAGAACTGGGACCTGACCGGCACGCGTCAGATCTGGCCCTGTGAGAGTTCCCGTTCCCACACCACCATTGCCAAGTATGCGCAGTATCAAGCCTCATCCTTTCAGGAGTCCCTCCAGGTGAGAGGCAAGACTGGGCTGAGACTGGGATGCTGGGTTCAAAGGGAGCTGGAACTGAGGTTGGTAGTGGAAGGTCTCCCAGAAGGCCATGGACCTATGTCTATACTTCTCTGGCTGAGCAGGAAGAGAAAGAAAGTGAGGATGAGGAGTCGGAGGAGCCAGACAGCACCACAGGAACCCCTCCTAGGTACAGTTTTGTCCGTTCCTCTTAGGACTCCTGCCCTTCCCCTTTCTTTACTTCTCTACCAACCTGTCCTCTTTGCCCCAGCAGCAGCAGTGCACCAGACCCCAAGAACCATCACATCATCAAGTTTGGCACCAACATCGACCTATCTGATGCCAAGCGGTCAGTGAGGACTGCAGAGGCCAGCCAGGCTGGGGCAGGAGTGCTGCTGGGTTGTAGGGTGGCGGCTGCCTAGCCTAGCCTAGCCCCCCCTCACTTTTGCTTCATTCTCACCATGACAGGTGGAAGCCCCAGCTACAGGAACTGCTAAAGCTGCCCGCCTTCATGCGGGTAACATCTACGGGCAACATGCTGAGCCATGTGGGTCACACCATTCTGGGCATGAACACGGTGCAGCTGTACATGAAAGTCCCAGGCAGCCGAACGCCAGGTACGTGCTTGCGCGTGCGCCGTCGGTCAAGACGTGTTAGGGGAGGGGCTAGTGTCTTCGTCCATAGCTGACCGCTTTGTGGTTAGCCAGTGAGGGCGAGGGGTTGGGGCTGAGCTGAGCTCAGACTCTGATCAGGCCAGTCATGCTGCACTCTGTTGCCCCCCGCAGGTCACCAAGAGAACAATAATTTCTGCTCTGTCAACATCAACATTGGCCCAGGCGACTGCGAGTGGTTCGCAGTGCATGAGCACTACTGGGAAACCATCAGCGCCTTCTGTGACCGGTGCGTGCCGTACCTCCCTCCCCCCCTCAACAGTCTCCCTGCTGGTCGCCCCAAATCTGGGGTCCTCAGGTTCCCTCCTGAGTCTCTTGCTACCCGCAGACACGGCGTGGATTACCTGACCGGCTCCTGGTGGCCGATTCTGGACGACCTCTACGCCTCCAATATTCCTGTGTACCGCTTCGTCCAGCGTCCCGGAGACCTCGTGTGGATCAATGCGGGGACCGTGCACTGGGTGCAGGCCACTGGCTGGTGCAACAATATTGCCTGGAACGTGGGGCCCCTCACTGGTGAGGAGATAAGATGGTGCAGAGTCCATTCAGTGGTGAGGGGAAGGCCCTGGGGAGGGAATACCTTGGGCCATGGACTTAAGAGGGCTCCAGCTGTTAGGGCCAGGGGTTGGCTAGAAGTGGTAAGGGGTTGGTTGTTCAGGAATCCTGTACTGACCCCTCCAACCCACAGCCTATCAGTACCAGCTGGCCCTGGAACGATATGAGTGGAACGAGGTGAAGAATGTCAAGTCCATTGTGCCCATGATTCATGTATCCTGGAATGTGGCTCGCACAGTCAAAATCAGCGACCCTGACTTGTTTAAGATGATCAAGTGAGGACCCTATTTGAGTGGGAGCTCATTTCTGCCTATTCCGGTCGGTCCCTGCTTGCATCCTTCCTGACTCTATCCCATTCCTATCTATCGCTCCATCTGTCTACTATGTTTCGGGCAGTATGCACTGAGGATACTGCCTGGAAGGAGGCTGATAAAGGGCCCTGATCTCATGAGCTTTATCTTCCAGTGGTAAATGTTATTAAAAAAAAAAAAAAAGTGAAATTTCAACTGTGGATGAGAGCCCAGGATAGGGGTCTGAACCCAGGCATGAAGTGGAGATGGGTGGGGGGAGGCCTTTGGAGGAGGACTTCAGAGCTGAAATCTCTGCCCCCATCCTACCTGACCTGCATCCCTGCCCCCACTCTCCTATCCTCCCACCTTTCTCTGGCATCCTGCCTCATCAATACCTCTCCACTCCCTAGGTTTTGCCTCCTGCAGTCCATGAAGCACTGCCAGGTGCAGCGGGAGAGCCTCGTGCGGGCAGGAAAGAAAATTGCCTACCAGGGCCGGGTCAAAGATGAGCCTGCCTACTACTGCAATGAGTGTGATGTGAGTGGGGGGTGCGGTGTGTGTGTGTGTGTGTGTCCGTCCCTGTCTCCCCGCCCCGGGCTACTGCCTGCCGCTTCTCTTCCTCACCGCTGTTGCCTCCCTCTAGGTGGAGGTTTTCAACATTCTGTTCGTAACGAGTGAGAATGGCAGCCGCAACACGTACCTGGTGCACTGCGAGGGCTGTGCCCGGCGCCGCAGCGCTTGCCTGCAGGGTGTAGTGGTGCTGGAGCAGTACCGCACAGAGGAGCTTGCTCAGGCCTACGACGCCTTTACGCTGGTGAGCCCTCTAGCCCAGAGGTGAACGCACCTGAGGGCCGGGCGGCCAAGTCTGTTGGCGCCTGCGCCTAAGCCCCCTATCTGCTTTACCTTCCACAGGCCCCTGCCAGCACCTCGCGATGAGGCCGGACGCCCCGCCCGCCTGCCAATCCGCGCAGGGCGCGCCGCGGGGCCACCAGCACACTCCTGGGCTGGACCTAGGTCCCGCCTCAGGCCGGGAAAGGGGTCGGGCACAGCCCTTCCACCCCATTGGCAGCTCCCCTCACTTAATTTATTTAAAAAAAATTTTTTTTAAAACAAATAGGAAAAAAGGAAAAAAACGGGAGGTGGGGAGGGGGCTGGCAGCCCCTCGCCCGCCAGCGCCTCCCCTCACCGACTTTGGCCTTTCTAGCAACAGACACAAGGACCAGGCTCCGGCGGCGGCGGGGGTCACATACGGGTTCCCTCACGCCTGCCAGCCGCCAGCCCGCGCACGCGGCTCCTGTATGTACATAGACGTTACGGCAGCCGAGGTTTTTAATGAGATTCTTTCTATGGGCTTTACCCCTTTCCCAGAGCTTCTTTTTTACTTCCAATGCTAGCTGTGACCCCTGTACATGTCTGTTTATTCACTTGGTTATGATTTTGTATTTTCTGTTTTTTTTTTTTTTTTTTGGTTTTGTTTTTAATTTATAACAGTCCCACTCACCTCTATTTATTCATTTTGGGAAAACCCGATCTCCCGCACTCCCCAAGCCATCCCACGAACCCCTCCTGGGACCGCTCACAGCCCGGCCGTCCCTGCGCCCCAGAGTGTGTCCGGCCCGGCCTGTCCGTCTCTGCCTGTCCGCCTGCCCTCGGCTCCAGCCGGGTTCTCATGGTGCTCAAACCCGCTCCCCTCCCCTACGTCCTGCACTTTGTCGGACCAGTCCCCCTACTCCCGACCCGACCCCAACCCCGCCTGAGGGTGAGCGACTCCTGTACTGTAGGGGAAGAAGTGGGAACTGAAATGGTATTTTGTAAAAAATAAAATAAAAATAAAAAAATTTAAAAGTTTTAAAGAAAGAACTATGAGGAAAAAGAACCCTGCCCTTCCCAGCCCCGGCCAATTTTAAACTCGGACTTTAAAAGAAAAAAAAAAAAAATGCGTGAAACCACCCAGGGCCAGATCCCTCTGGGTGAGTTTCTCTGGGGCTTATTTTCGTTTGGTTGTTGTTTTTTTTTTTTTTTCTCCACGCTGGGGCTGCGGAGGGGTGGGGGGGTTTACAGTCCCGTCCTTTCGCACTGCACTGTCTCTCTGCCCCAGGGGCAGAGGGGTCTTCCCACCTTATCCCTATTTTCGGTGATTTTTGTGTGAGAATATTATTAAAAATAAATGCAGAAAAAAAATGTTTTGATAACGTGCTGGTGGATAATAGGAAGGGTGCTGGGAGGAGGGCGGTGAGGCAGTGATTGATGGGGAGGGACTTCAGACCCCAGCGGGGCCGAGCCCTTCCAGGGAGGCGCCTGTGGAATGTCCAGAGCTCTGGTCCGATCCTCCGGATGGGGGTGCCTAATCCGAGAGAGTTGCATTCCAGGATAAGGGGGGTGGGGAGAGGACGGGCCGGGGGAGGGGCAGGAAAGAGGGCTATAAGGGCTGCAGCCCAGGCGGGCGGGAGCCAAGTAGGCCATGGCGGATGTCCCCGGGGCGCAGCGGTCGGTGCCCGGCGGCAGCTCCGAGCCCCGAGACCCCCTGGACTGCTGGGCTTGTGCTGTGCTAGTAACAGCCCAGAACCTACTGGTGGCTGCCTTCAACCTGCTCCTGCTGGCACTGGTGTTAGGGACCATCCTGCTACCCGCTGTCACTATGCTGGGCTTCGGCTTCCTCTGCCACTCCCAGGTGAGCTTGCGCCCCGTGTGTGTGAAATTACGCGTGTGTACCGATACCGAGGATAGGATACTGGGCCGAAAAGTCTTCCTTTCTGTGCTTTTCCATCCCAATGCACTTTCTTCTTGGCCCAGGTATGACTGGGCCTCACGTAGCCTTCTCCTCCCACAGTTCCTGCGCTCCCAGGCACCCCCTTGCACCGCGCACCTGAGGGATCCGGGCTTCACAGCCCTGCTGGTCACCGGGTTCCTACTCCTTGTGCCGCTGCTTGTACTTGCCTTGGCCAGCTACCGCCGTCTCTGCCTGCGCCTCCGCCTAGCCGACTGCCTCGTGCCTTACAGCCGGGCCCTCTATCGGCGCCGGCGTGCCCCGCAGCCGCGGCAAAGCCGAGCTTCATCAGGGGCCCAGGCCCTGCCCACATCGGGGAAGGTCTGGGTCTGAGGACCCTCGAGGCAAGAACCATCCTGACGACTGCACTCCCTGCCAGTTTGCCGGAGAACTTGAAGCATTATCTCCAGAACTGCCCGGCCCGCAAGCCTGCGGGAGCCCTTTCGCCGCATCCCTTCGTGAACAGCAGAGACTGTGAACCCAATTCTGGTGAAATTTCGGCACGCCCCAGAAAACCCACTTTCCTCTCACTATCCACACCTGAATCCTGAACACCTGGGCTGGACCCTGCTGGACCCTGCACACCTTACTCCCACCTCTAGCACCCCCCCCACCCCCCCCCCCCCACCCCCGGTCATGACTAGGACAACTCAACCTTGTGCCCACCTTTACGGAAGTAGCACCTCCAGCATTTAAGGGGTGGGAGCGGGGCTGAAGTGATTACACGTCAATAAAGAATTAGTGAATTATGAGCTCCTGGATTCATAACCAAAAGGATGCAAAAAATATCCCTGCTTGGCGCCCAGAAACAGGAAGCATACTGGGGCTATGCCTCGGTCTCTTGGCCTTCCTTTATCGAATTACCAGGTTCTTCCTGGCCAGACCCCAGAGGTCTGTCCGACCGGAGCCAGACTCACCTCCCCATAAACTGAGTGGAGAGGCCCAGCGACGAGATCCTGCCCTGCTCCCCTTGGGGACCAGAGCCCGTTCTCTGACCTCAGCTCAGAGGAACCTGGTGTTGCCAGGCCGGGGAGGGAAACAATGGGTCTTCCGGAGTAGGATAACGCCCCTCCCGCCACAATTCTGGGGCAGTGGTGTGGGAGGGCCGCAGGAGTCCACTCTAGGGAACTGTTTGTTCCTAGCTTCGCCTGCCTCTACCAACCCCTTCCAAATCCGAGAGATAATTTGGAATCCCAGGATGTTCAAGTTGGACCAGTCTGGGCTTCAAATAACCCTTTTCTCGAGGGGCGGGCGTATCCCGGCTACACACAGACACAGGCCACTAAAGTCACAGGTTTAATGAAGTTTGGTAGGCATGCGCGATCCGTGGTCAGAGATATGGAGGCCCCACCAGGCTCTCCCTTTGCACCTCAATAGAAACGATGTGGTGTCCGGGTACCATAGCCAGACCCAGCACACGGGGTTCACCGGCAGAAAAGGAATCTGGAAAGAAGGGTCAGAGCATCAGGTGAGTAGGCCAAGGTCGATCATGCCCCCTTTTGGACTACGACTCCAAGTCCCAGAAAACAAGGGGTGTAGCCAGGGGACGAAGGGAAAGTGCCTTGTTTTAGGCCCCGCCGCATACCCGGGGCACTGACCCGACGGCTTGAGGAACTCCTGCGCCGAGCCTAGGATGACATTGCAGTCGCGATCCGTGCAGAGGAAGCAGCCGACCAGAGTCCGACCGTCTGTCATGCGAATGCGCATAGTCTTGTTAAGCAGCGCCTCCAGCTGCTGACGGGCGCGTGCAGACGGCGAATCCTCACGCTCCCCATCCGAGTCCTGCTCAGGGCGGGTCACGCACTCACACCGCGCAGTCCTAGCTACTCGCCCGCCCGCAGAACTACAGCTCCCGACAGCCCGCAGGACGCTCACATGCAGCCCAAAGGCTGCCGGGAGCTGCAGTTCCCCCCGCTCTCCCATTTTACTACCCGACTGTCCCTCCATCCCAGAACCCAAACCCGCGCTAACCCCAGCGCTGGAGCTGCTTTGACGCCGGCTACAACAGCCATTCTCCTCTCGTAGTAGCATAGTCGGCCCAGCTCCGGCCATTTGCTCTGGGGCCTCTTCCCGGCCCTTCAACTTCAAGAGAAACCTTTCGGGTCTGGTGCTCTGAGATCTCGCGAGTGCTTCCAACCTCTTTTCCTTTCGCGAGATAACCGCTCGCTCCTCCTAGTATCCACGACAACTGCAGAGTTCTCGCGAGCTTTTTCTACTTACCCGGCGCTGTGGTTGTGACCTAGCACACGGATGTCTTTATGATATCGCGAGAAATGTATCGTTTTAGTTTCCAATATGAGTACTCTTTGGGACTGTGGAAAGATTTTAGCGCTGTGGGATAAAAGCACTGGACCGCAAGGTCGGTTTGAACAAGATCGGCGGTTCAAACCAACCACCCGCTCTTTGGAAACCCTGTACAGACTCGCTGAGTCGCAACGACTCGATGACACTTAACATGGAGTTCTGTGGGATACGCATTGGATTGCTAACCTCAAGGTCGGCGGTTCAAACTCACCAGCCGTTCCTCGACTGGACAGCACTTAACGCCATCTCCTGCAAAATCGGTTTGAACCGCAAGGTCGACAGTTCAAGCTCACCAGCCGCTCCCCGGAAACCCTATACAGGGTCGCTATGCGCCGTAACTGACTCGAAGGCACTTAACCTTCTTTTAAACCTTCCGCCTCCTTTTTGTTCTGACTCCGAAGATAACCTGTTCTGAGTATCTCCAGTCGCCATGAGTCTGAATCGACTCCACGGCAAGTTGCTTTTTTAAAAATTTAATGTGTCAGATTTAGAAATCACACTACATTTCCCGGGAGCACCTGCAGCCCAAGTTCTTCCTTTTGTGACGCAATGTTTATCTCAGTGGACGGCGGCCGGAAAAGGACAATGGTTTCCATGTCAGCGTATAAACGCACTCCCCTTACCTCCTGAACCTTTAACTAGATACAATTGTGAGACTTTACTAAGGCGCTAAGACGCAAAGGTGGATCCGTGGCCTGTAGAGCTAGAATCATGCCTCACCGGGGCCTAGTGGCTGGACCAGACTTTGAAGTTTTTCAGCGTCGCTATTTCACGCCGGCAGAGGTGGCCCAACACAACCGACCCGAGGACCTCTGGGTGTCTTACCTGGGCTACGTGTATGATTTGACGCCCTTGGCACAAGAGTACAAAGGTAAGGACCAGACGTTGGTTTGGGGCCAGGGTGTGTTGTGAGGTGGGTGTCTAGTTTAGGTGGTCGGCAATGACAGAGGCTGCTCCTTCCCAGGGGACCTGCTGCTAAAACCCATCTTGGAAGTTGCAGGCCAGGACATCAGCCACTGGTTTGACCCAAAGACTAGAGACGTGAGTTTGGCTTGAACCTGGGGTTGGGGAGAGGGTACTGGAGAGCTGGAGTGGGGAAGGAAAGCCAGATCGCCAGATAATGACTGCTCGGACCTCCATTCCCCGTATCGTGCTTTATTTAAAGATCCTCAAGCACATAGATCCTCTGACCGGAGCTCTGAGGTACTGCACCCCGCGGGGCCGCTTCCTGCACGTCCCTCCTCAGCTACCCCGGTCAGACTGGGCCAATGATTTTGAGAAGCCTTGGTGGCAGGGATCTCGTTATGAGGTAGGACGACTGTCTGCGAAGACTAGGCACATCCGCATCATTAACACGCTCACTTCGCAGGAGCACACACTGGAGGTGAGAACTGGGGGGTTAGGGGCAGTTTAGAGAAAATTGGGAATCCTCCAGTGGGTTCTCCAGGCCACCTGTTCTCTATAACCGGAAGGAGCTTTATTTTTTTCTCCATTTTTAGGAGTTATGGAATCCTGATGTGACGTTGTAGTATAAGCACTGGACTGCTAACCACAAGATCGGTGGTTCAAACCCACCAGTCGCTCCTTGGAAACTGTACAGGGTCGCTATGAGTTGAAACTGACTCAACAGGCAGTTGAGGAAAACAGACCAACCAGGCCTCAGGGTTAGAAATTCCACTGGGTCACTTAAAGTCTAGGTCTTCATAGGCCCAGGGCAGCAGTTAGATTTTTGATGGTGATGGTTGTTGTTGTTGTTGTTAAGTGCCGTCGAGTCGGTTCCGACCCATAGCGACCCTGTACAGGATTTCCGAGGTAGCCCTTGTAAACTCTTACATACATGTTGTGTTTTAGACAGCAGTTTGACTACTCTATTAGTCTACTTTATTGTGAGGATGAGGTGAATGTGGAGTGACTTTGACCCTCTTAAGGGCTGTTAGTTAGAAGTGGCTACCATGAAGATAGGAGTTTCAACTTAAAAGCTAGTAGTATCTGTTAGGGGAGACACTCTGATCCCAGCTCTGTCATCCCGTGAACTCTTGCTGTTAGCTTGGCCTGGGTGTGTCTTCCATTCAGAATTCTGGGTGTGGGGTGCTTCTGTGTTCTTCAGGTGGGATCCTTGGAATCAATGTGGGAAATCCTACACCGCTATCTACCCTATAATGCACATGCTGCCAGCTACACATGGAGATATGAAGGGAAGAACCTGAAAATGGACAGTACTCTGGAAGAGAATGGGATCTGTGATGAAGATGAAGAATTTGACTGGCTCAATATGGACAGTGCACGCTACACACCTGCATTACTGCTCTATTTCAACGATGACCTCACGGAGCTATAAGAAAGATTTGTATGCTTACATACATTTAAGACATACTTTTAAGTTTGGTTGTTTCTGTGACCTGAAGGAAAAGAGATGAGGTGGGAAATGCCTGGACCTAGACCTCCACTCCATTCTAGGAACAGGCCTATTCAGTTCAGAGAAGGTCTTCTTTCCTGCTCCATTATAATTTACTCTGAGAAAATTTGGCATAATAGAAGTGAATTAATTGATTTTTAATGATATAAAGAAATGAAAGATGAAGAGGATGTCAGAACTCAGGCAGAACTTTTTGATAGTAGGAGGAGTTCTATAGGCATGAGGTATGGAAATAATGGGATGGCTGCAGGAAGAAGGGATTTACAAAGATACGGATTGTCTATAATTGACCACATGAAACAGGCATATCTCCCTTCTAGGATAGTATTTGACAACTGAAACCCCATGGGAAAAAAGAAAGTGAATGAATGGTTACAAGTTAATTTAAACTAGATATGGTGTTAGTTAGGTGTTTTATACATCCTCTTTCATACAACTACCCATTAAGGTGGATACTATTACCACTATTTTACAGATGTCTTCTGAAGCTTAGAAATATTTAATAGCACAAAGCCACACTAGTTAGTAAACTAGCAGAGTTAAAATGTAAACCCAAATCTAACTCCTCCAAAGCCCTTGTTCTCATTCTAAAGGGAATGCCTCAAATTCTAGTTCATGGTAACATTTGTAACCACGGGTCTCAGACCAAGTGTTGGGATGTGGACTTGTCCTAGGCCAGTTGCACAATGGGGCATTATTAGTAGTCAGTTACTCGTTCTTTCTGCAGTTATAGTCTTTAGAAGGGAGCTAGCAGAGTTTTTCCAGTGGCAGAGAAGAATCCGGGAAGGATGTTAGCTAAGCAGTAGCTATTGAGGCTAATTCCTGGTAAATCCCACAGCAAAATTTTCTTCTGACTTTCTGAGGCAAAGAGGTATTTTACTCCTGGAGAAAAACACAGAGTAGAGGAAGGGCCTGGAGATTGGGGTGCTTTGGATGTGAGAGCAATATGAGATAATTAGTTGAGTAAATTCAGGATGAATCCCTGCTACCTAAGGAAGGTGAGGAAGACAGAGTTGAGTTTGCAAGATGGTGACTTTGAAAGAGGAAGCCAAATAGGGTAAACAGAGGAACCAAGAAATCAGAAAACTCCTGGTAGCTAAAAGAGAACAGTCAGTGGTCAGATTGGATAACATTTAGCCTAGGCTTAAATTTAGCTGGTGTGGCGCTGTGGGTTAATGCACTGGACTGCAAAGTCGTTTCAACCTCAAGGTCAGTAGTTCAAGCTCACCAGCTGCTCCTCAGAAACCCTATACAGGGTCACTACGGGTCGGAACTGACTCGACAGCACTTTAACAGTAACAAATGAGATATATGAACTAAGTTGGAAATATCTTTATTGGCTTCTAAGATTAGTATCTGATCTTACTGTGAGACTGAGGACTTCTTTCAGTACCATGTGATGCAAAAAGTCCATGAATTATCAGAACCAATGTCTGGGAGCCAGCCCCAGCAAACTTATTCCAGGGTTTCCAAAGAGGTGTATGGCGTCGGTGGAAAAGAATTACACATAGTCGATTGATCGTGATGAATTCAAAATCTTCTTACATGCTTTATTCTTCTCTCATTCTTTACTCTCCTGCTCATTCTTTTATCTCCTCCCCCCTCTCCTGCTTTTCCCTTCTTCTTCCCTCTCCTCTTTCATTCTCCTCCTGCTTTTCCTCCTTTATTCTTCTTCTCTCCTTTCATTCTTTACTCTTTACTCTCATCTTTACTTCTCATTCTTTTCTCTACTCCCCCTCCTTTACTCTACTTGCTTATTTTTTACTCTACTTCTCCCTCTCCTGCTCTACTCTTCTCCTTTTTCCTTCTTCCTTATTCTGTCTTACAACCCCCTTATATACTGTTACAAAAAACATTGTTTTCATAGTAATCAATGTCTCCAAAATACAATCTATTCTGGGGCACATTCTTCATGGTTTATGACCCTTAGATTTACAACAAAGATGAGAAGTTACAGCAAAGAAACATTACATCAAGGTATATGAGACATCCTGGCGCCTTGAAACCTTTTAGTTAAACATTTGTACCTACATAAATAAGTTCTATTCTTTTCTCTGAGAAGCAAGTTAACCTTTACATATGTTTCTTGATCTTTGTCTGTTAAGTCTTGTTAAGTCATCAATCCTAGTTGTCGGGTGTAATTAACACTTCATTAACTTTCTCCATACACTATCTGTTTATAGCCTACAAAAATATCACTTAGCAGAACATTTAAAAAACTGAGGCTATGAAAAACAACTTCCCTATTTTACTGATCATTAATTTAAGAACATCTAAGTCAAACTTTTTATTTAGTATCTGTATACGCATAGCTCTTATTTATGGCCTAGTTGCTTTTAAGGATTCTTTATTGTCCCAAACTAAGGCTACAAGGAAGAATGTTTATAATCACTAAGCCTAAGCTGGTAATAATTCAATTGACAAATCCTGTCTCCTAGCAGTCTTAAGAACATTGTTAATATAAGTAAAAATTACCTATGATTACAAGTAGAGTAAATGTAGCTAATATATGGCTTCTAACTTTTAATAAAAATATACTAAAGTGTAGGAGAGTCAAAATCTAAAGTAAAGGGATACTAATAAAATCATGAATAAATCGGAGAATGATTCAAAAAGAAAAAAATAACTAGGGGCCTATGCATAGAATATTTCTTTGTGGCTTTGCCAACCTAAAGAAAACCATCATTGTCGCTCTGCTAGAACAATGAGCTCTTCATGCGCAGGGTCCTCCATGTCTCATTTCTTTATTCCAATTCCTTGATTAATATGTCTCAATTCCTTCATTTCAATTTCTTAATTAATATGGCACCCGCCAACCAATCATTCTGATGATTAAATAACTCAGTAGTTGTTTCTTGTGTATCTTGTTTGCTCAGTTAAACCTTAAACTATTTGAGAACCAAAGTAGACTATTGTCTGCACCAGCCTTAGGGCTGTGTCTATGGGATATGCTCTTTATCCTGCCTGAGCCTGTCCTTCTTCCAGTCTCCTACATGTCAGTATTTCTTGCCAGAAACACATCCTTCTCACCACATGCCCAGTAACTCTCCAAGTAGATCCTATCTCTTAAATATCCCTGGAATCTATTTTCTTTCCTTCAAGCTACTATACCTTTTTCCTGGACTGGTCTGGAAGCTTCCTAACTTGTCCCCCATTTCCACTTCTGCCCTTCACACAACACAGAGAGATCTTTGAAAAGTATAACCATTACCCCTCTTGCTTTAGAGTCTTCAGTGGCTTCCAATAGTTTTTGGAATAAAGTCCTATATCCCAGACCCTGCATAACTCAAGCTCTCCCTACCTTTCATATCCCATCTCCTAACAGTCTTCATTGTGCCATGTGCTTCAGCACACTGGCTGACTTCCAGTTCCTTAAATGTCTTCGTCCTCCAGAGCCTCCACTTTTCACCTAGCTGATCCTAAATGTTTTGTCCTCAGGGAGGCCTCTGATTTTTCCGTCTAAGTCAAGAACATAAAAAAAAAACCTAGTTGTCATTGAGATAACTCTGACCCATGGCAACTTCAAGACTTCCTGTTAAATCTTCATACCAGAGTAACATGCTATCTGTAATTTTAAAATTATGGATGTAATTGGTTGTTTGGCTGCTAGATTGTAAGCTCATAAGGGCAAAGATTTTGTCCATTTTATTCATTGCTGTATTCCTGGTGCCCGGCACACAAGTTGCTACTCATAAAAATTTGTTTGAATGAACTAAAACTGTTAAGTGAATTAATCTGTCTGTAATAACTAGTGGATGGGATGTTGTGTCCTGGGAGGCAAGATGAAACCCAGAAATAAGATGTCTGGATCCTGTGCGGTAGTCTCTAACTACAGACTTCTCTTTCCTTGCTCTGCACTAAAAATTTATTGGTAGAAGTTATTTATCTACCTTTCATCCAAGATTTTTTTGGCAACCCACCTGTCATTTCTCCATATGGCCACCAGGTGGCTGTAATTGCCTATGGAGTCAGAAGGCCCCCTCCACCAGGAAGGAAACCCATTCTGAAAGTGGTCCTTTGAGATTTATAGTGGTGAGGGAGGGGCCAGACAAAACACGAAAACCCACAAGACCACCATTTAATTGTTCTTGTTAAGTGCTGTTGAGTCAATCCCAATCCATAGTGACCCTCTATAGTGTTTCCTCAGAGCAGCTGGTGAGCTTGAACGGCCGACCTTGCCATTCAAACAGCTTTGCAGTCTGGCGCATTAACCCACAGTACAACACCAGGACCACTTGATTAGCATTAGGTTTATTACTCCTTTTAATTTTCTTCACCAGCATATACCAACAAAAGTGGTTTGAAAAGTAAAATTTGGGATATGGCAAGTAAGAGGCCTTAATTTCAGATTGAGAACATATAGGATGAGGCACAGAGTTGAAAAAGAAATAAAGACATCACAAAAATTTTAAATAATAGAGTTCATCCATTTATTAATATTTATTGACTTTTGGGTTATACAGTGAAATTTTCGCTAGGCTCTACCTTATAACTATCCAAGACTGGATGAGGGTATGTAAACAATGCCTTGGGCTAAAACCTAGAATGTAAATAAAACATTAGTATGGGCCTGAGCCCTCTTATGGTGATATCTTTTGGTTTGGAGCCCTGGTGGTGCTGTAGAATAAGTACTGGACTGTTAACCACAAGGTTGGCAGTTCAAACCCAGTAGCTGCTCTGCCTGAGAAAGATGAGGCTTTCTACTCCTGTAAAGATTTACAGCCTTGAAAACACTATACAGAATCACTATGTACAACTATGAGTTGAAACAGACTTGGCACCAAATAACATGTGGTGAAAGCTACCTGTCTTTAATAAAGCACAACAGCTTCCTAAGACTCCATCAGTATTTCTACAAGCGGTGGTTCCTACGTCAATATAACACTGGGGGTAATTTAGAGGCATAAAAAGTCTCGATTACT